TTTAGAAATTATTTTGAGATTTTGTCGTTTCAAAACTAAATACACACGAATTCATTTACGAGAAAAAGAATAAACGTGAAAAGAATACATAACCAAATTTTTGTGATTGTCTCCAGATTTCTCTACTTCAAGAATGTGAGGTGTGTTTTATAGGGTTTTAAATTCATTGGTTATTATAGTATGGTATATTACATTTAAACCATCAATATCAAGCGAATTATTACATTATAATTATTATGCTTTGTATTCGAATTTTCTTAATATTTCAATGATACTAAAATTCCAACCAAGCATCGAATTCGAGATACTAGAGCTTGTTCAAACAATTACTCAACCATATGTTCTTGTCAAAGATTGTTCCAAAATGTAGTAGAAATAGAACGTAGAAGATAAGGGTGGATTGAAACACAAAGGAAAATAGAAAAGAGGGGTCACTTTGCAATTTCACCTTATTTAACTAGAATATACTTTTATTAGAAGAATCACAGACAATTGAAGCTCTGGAAGATTCCGTGATTCACAAGCGCCTAACCGCGCGTAGAATAATGTTTGTTACATTCAATGAAACCGTTTTGGAAGAATTTGTTGGCCTTTCACCTTCTCCAAGGGCCAAACCCACCAAGATCAACATTATCCAACTCTCTTAATTCCGTCGTGTCATACACGGACTAATCATAACATGACATCCTGGCTCTTACGGTGGGACCTCACCTCCGTATGGTACAAAGACTGGAATATTCCCTTTTCGGTGTTTTTTTATTGCAGGTTGCTTGAATCCCGGTGCGAGCAAATCCATCTAATTTTGGAGTGAATTATAAATGGTTACTAGAAAATGCTTTTTTTTTTTTTTTTTCTTTTTCATTTTTTCTCTTTAATTTGGTAAGAAACCATTATCATCAATTTTATTAAATTGGAAATATATCGCGCATCGTATCATTTAAATATCACGACATTGATTCCATAAGCGGTATGATCAACAGCGGAGGCTGTGAGTTTTTTTTTTTTTTTTTTTTAATGGCCCTATAACCGAATCTAACGGGGAATAGAACCCGTGATCTAGTAGCTAACACTATCCTCCCGCACTCTGATATCGCTCGGGCGATACCCTTGCAATGGCGGAGACAGTGTGGTCCAGGCTGTGTAGTTATCCAATTTAAAATATAAGTAAATTTATATATTTTTTGTATTATACAAATTTACACGTGAGAGTTTTACACGATTGACTTGTCTTAAATGGTAGATAGATTCTAATCTATTGCACTTAAATAGTTTTCTAAATTTTCGACTATATGGTATTTTTTTATTGTTGAAAAATTACGAATCTACCAAAGAAAAAACCGATTTCGTACTTTCAACTTTAATTTATTTATCAATTCTTCATCATTTTCACCAATTTTCTTTTTAGATGTTTCCAAAATTATCTCAAAAAATCTTTTAAATTGTGACGTTCTTACATATTATGTGTATAGTATTAAAAAAAATCAGAGACGCTATCTCTGAACATTCGTAAACTTTTAGTCCCCATTTTTACTAAATGTTATTTACATATTTTAGTATATTCAATTTTGAATATCCATGACGAATTTCCTGAATTCAATGTATAATTTACCATAAATTTTATAAGATTATCATTTGGATTGACATAAATTTTCGAGATACATATTATAAAGAACTGGATTATATTTGACAAGTTGGTTTCTGTTTAGGTACATTTTATGGGTTGGGCTTACTAGACTAAATCGTGAAGCCCACCTCCATTCAATTTTAATCTTCGGGTAGCTCCAAAATTGTAACAAGAGAATCGTATACTATTATTAGTAAAAAAAGAAAAAAAGTAAAAGATAAAATAAGCATAGTCCAATGTCATTTCCCATATTTCTTTATACTCCCTCCATTTCTTTTTAATCTTCTTTTTAATCATCGCTTTTTACATTTGCACAAGAATTAAGAATTTCGTTAATTGTGTCTTGATTTTAGGAAAATGTATGTTCTAAAGGTTTAAGCTAAAATGATCTTGTCTTATAATTAATAATAAGGAGAACTGAGTTAAGAAAAAGAGTATTGAAAAGAATTAATAGAATATAAACTGGAAATTAAGGAATTAATGCACTGCTGGAAATTTAAAGTGACAAATAATATGGGACAATTTTTTTTTTCAAAAGTGACATATATTATAGAACAGAGGAAGTATATTCTAATTAATTTAGGTAGCGAGTTTTCGGCCAATGACTCCAAAATCAGTTGGTTTAAGGACGTTAGACGTTGAACACCCTACAAACTTGGGGTATTTGCACTCGGCTCCCCTGTGAAATGTCTAATTGGCAAAAAAACCCCTCGGATAAAAAAATTAGCAAATACCCCCCTATGAAAGGAAGTCAATGACAATAAGGACCCTACGAGCGAATCGTGGGATACACTCGCGGTTCATGCAGCTGGGCGTGCGTTTTAGGACATTTTAGGACAGGAAAAGACATAAAAACCCTTTGATAGAGGAAAAAAACCCAAATTGATTCAATTATAAATAATCTAAAGTTATAGGACTAAATTGTAATTATCAAATTGTGGGCTGAAATCACTAT